GTAGCAATGTAATAATAATCAACGGGCTGCGGGTTCGATCCTCGGTAATAAAAATATTTCAAATCAAATATTTAATTCTTAAGCATGTTCGACTTCAGCTGATAATTCTGGCCGGTGGAATATCGAAACTCCACCCGGAACGAACGACTGTCCACAGATGATAAAGCCGTGAAGTGTTATTGCGTTATTAGTCTGTGGATTGCCATCGCATGTTATATGTGGCGTATTTCACCTTCTATCAAACCCATGCTTGTGTGACTTCTTTTGTCATGAAGAAACCAATTTAGATTCACAATTTACACGTACTCTTTTGTTCAGGAAAACATAAAACAGGAAGGAGTCTTAAAACGAAAGATTCGCAGTTATTTAACCAATTTTATAGAATTGTTATAGAAATAATAGAAACGTTTAGTGCATTTCTAAAAAAAATTCTAGTAAAAATTAAAATGTAATAGAACTGATTTTATTTAATGTAGCACAGACTGTTATTTAAGGTTCTTTTAAGGATAGAGGAGAACAGGCAAACTTGGGTTTCATTTGATGGTAGGTGCCGTAATAGTCGTATAACACCTAGAAAAAATGCGTGGTCGACCTATTTTGGCTTTGGATATTTCGGAATCCACCGATTAAAACCGAAACGCGATTAAACTTGACGGCTTAATTTTATTTTTCTTAAATTGTATCTTCAAATGTAGCATCTTAGCAAAAATAACTTACCCAAGTAAAAGTCGGCAACGACAAAGGGATAGAACCAAATACATATATAGGCATTCTTTGAGATAGCGCCATTTTGAAAATTAGGACATTCTTCTTATGACTCTTGTCGAAAATGTACCATTTCTCCGTTACGGCCGCTTCCAATTTTTCACACTTAAATATGTACAAAAAACATCTATTGCTACATAATACAATCTTCAAACTATTACCACGCAAAACGGATGAAATAGTAAACATTTAAACAAAACCACTTAAACGGTTTAAAACGTGATCTATATTGATTAAATCTATTTGGAAATTAATTTAATTTTTATTATATAATATATGTTATATAATATCTTCAAACCATTACTATACAAAGCGGATAAAATAGTACATATTAAAATAAAACAACTTAACAGTTTAAAACGCGAAGTGTATTAGGGAAACTTTTATTGGAATGATACAATAAAATAATTTCCAAATAGGTTAACTAATATACATCGCGTTTTAAACCGTTAGAGTGTTTTATTAAACATGAATGTCTAACAAATAATAAGAACAAAAGCACTTCTTTACATCTAGTATTAAATGATAGGCAATCAATAACGCGGGACGCACCTACTTAATAAACATTTCATTTACCTGATTCTCCACCTGCTGCCCAAGGAAACAAAACATGAAAACGACCAGAATGAAGCAGAATTCATGAACATAATATTTCATTGTCTCCAGCGCTAGCTTGGGCTAAAAAAATTCACGTTGACGAGAATTATTCGAGTTACGTTGATTTGAATTCAAGCTGAGTTGTACTTGAATTGAGTTTAATTTGTGAAAGAGTTTTTCCATTATAAGTTATGTATCTTAGAAGGTAATATAAATAAGTAATATTAGTAGAAATCCATATTTGTTTTCGGTATCTATCACAAGATAGAGTCAAATATAGGAAAACAATATTCTCGTCTTAGCTGTCCACCAAATTAGTTATTGAAATAGAGAAGTGTTTTCAAAAGCTCAGACCCACCATGCTGCTCCAGTATGGGTTGATAGGCTTTTTATGGACTATGTAGGTAGTCTGGTCACTAAATAAGTGCTGATAATTGGTATGACCACCTCTGTAGCTAAGTGGTTAAACGTGATGCCTAGAATTGTGTTAAGCGAGAAAGGTCCTGGGTTCAAATCACGGGCAAACAATAGATTGTTTTGATCGGGCAGGGCACGGAAGTCTGATCATTCATGAAATCCATCAGTGAAACGGACACACAAATGTGTTTGCCCACGGAGGGAAACTGAATTTAATTTTTTTTATAGTAATTGTGAAACTTCACGACTTTTTCATCTGTTGTTGGTGGTTCGTGATCCGGACGAAAATTCGATATTTCTACCTGTCATTTAATAAAATTGATTGCAAACATGTTGGGCTCTATGGAGATCGAAACTACGACCCGTTGATTATGTCATGGCACCATTACGCCAAAGAAACCGTCAAAATATAATAGCCACAGTGTAGATATAATAATTTTTAATTTTCGTTTCATTGTCGGGTAAAAGGGTAACGAGTTCGATTCTCAGCGATTTACAAAAACCTACTCACCGATACTGCGATCTTGACCGAAGAAACGCACACCAGCATAATAGCGACGAAGATCAAAGCCAAATAGAATGGCTGACAAATTACATTAAGCCGATTCGCGAACCTGTTCGAATGGACATTTTTAAATTGAATGGACATTCATCGGGCGAGATTAATTGCGTTTCACTTATAACTTTTAAAACATGGCGGCGATCAGCGCTGCCAAGTTTTAACTTTGCTTAACACAAAGTAGACATATTTCCTTGTCTGTATCTTTGAACTTGAGCATTACGTCTCGGGCAGCACTCGAACCGACATCGTCAGCGTTCCGTGCTGTTGCTCTAACCAATTGAGTTACCGTTTTACTCTGATGTTACTTATTTTTTATGTTTTTTATTACATTACCTTTTAGTTCTAACATAATGCTGAACACATTGTGATAAAACAATAGTACACACAGCTTGCCATTTTTCATTCCTCACTCCAGTTATTTCTGATACCAAATCATCCATATATGTTAAGATGAAAGTAATAATCCGTAATTGTCGAATCACTTGACAGACTAAAAGTATAATTGTAGATTGAAGACCGGGATAGGCTACAATAGAAAGATTATATAATAATACAAGTATCAACCTAAAAAATAGTTTAATTTTCTTTCCACTGAAAAGTACAAAAGAAATTTTAATTTTGGCATAATAATTGTGTTTTACTAGTGTAGTCCTTTCATTTGATACCCATATTGAGGGGAAAAGGAAAAATATGTAATCCGCCATTTTGTATCGGCGGCCATCTTGGATTTCTAATGTTATTTGTGATGTTGATTTTATTATATTGTATTATCATCTAAATAAAATGTGTGTACCAAATTTCAGATCAATCTGATAACGGGAAGGTGCTTAAATTTCAGTTTTTAATTTCCCCCCAAACAAATAAATTCCGTACGGGTCGAGCTAAATAAAACTGTCTAAAAACAAAAGAAGATCTATTATTAATTATTATTTATACGTTATACATTAATATATACACACACTTTTTACACGTGCGATGGTCTAATGTGTAATAATCAACAGGTAGTGGGTTCGAATCCTACCGGGTCCAACATCCATCTAATAGAATGAATAGTTTGTCTGAAACATGTTGGACTTTGTCTGGAAATCTGAATATTAAATGGACGGTAGGAATATCAAAATCCTGACTGGGACACGAACCGCAGTCCACAGATGTACAAAAGTTTAATATATAATAATACTTCTATTACTTACCAATACAACACAAGTAACCAGCATATGCGTGGAAAATGAAAGACGCAATGTATATTTTAAAGTTTGCCAGACTCCAAGGAAACCACATATCAAACGCTAAAATAAAATTTAATATTTCAGTTACACAAATAAATATAAATAATTGATAAAAATTACAGTCAGTTTTACTTTTACATAAGAGACACCCTCCATCTTTAGTCTCTCCGTGACCACGGCTGCTGCAATCGTTTTTTTACTAGCAGTGTAATTTTCAAATAAAATATTTTCAACGGATTTAAAGGCGATATATTACTTAATTTCTTTTACGCTGCAATATTTTTAGTATAATAAATAATAAATTTAATTTAATAAGTATTAAATTACAGAGTACACTCTGTAATTTTTTCCAAATGATATGGGCAGTTTACGAGATCGCGCTCAATTAAATAAATACTCTTTATCTTTATATTAGTATAGACTAAAGTAACTAAAATATATAAAGAAGCAGTATTGTTAATACAGTTCTCGGCTTTAACCATAAAAAGTGTTTACTTAGTGACACTGCTGTGTTTTGCAGGGATGAAAATGTTCGTACCCAGGACCTTTCGTTCTTTCGGAGCCATATAAGTAAAGTTATATATTTCAATGTAGACTCTTCTATACACTTACCTAATAAGCGCAAATCCTTATCTGTCGTTACAATCATATGATAAATAGGCCCACAAAGATACAACGTCGCGCACAACCAAACGCTTGCTACATAAATTTTTATCAGGACCGTGGCTAGTTTTAACACGCGGCTTTGCGAGTTTAATACAAGCTTTTTTAGTTCACGCAGTTTTCCTGTTTTCCGGGATAAGGATAGAGCGTATATCACAAATGGGAGATCCAAAGCGCGGTCGCGAAACGCCATCTCTTCAACAAACACCTGTTTGACAATTTTTAATTAATAGTTATTCATAAAGGACTTCGTGAATTCTTAATCAAATTTAGGTAAATTTATATTTTTTTATGATAGGGGAAGGATTGATTTCGGATTCACTTGATGAAATGTGAAATACCACACATCCATAACAGTTGATGACTATGCGTGACCTATTTTATCTAAAATGAAAATGGAGACTTTAAACACATAAATATATAATAAAGTAAACAAGCAGTAGGTATATATTTAGGAAGGTAAAAAAACTATATAAAAATTAAAAATCAATTTTAGATAAAAAATTAGAGACGGGCAGGATTTGAACCGGCATCTACAGCGCTGCGTATTGTTGATTTAACCAATTGAACTACCGTACCGTACATCGTCAAATTTTCCAAAAAATTGATATGTGTCATGTACTTGTGAAAAATATCAAATTGTTTGTTCAATTCAATTTTATCAAGCAGTTGGTTTAATATATATCCCAACTGTGCCCTTGTGTGTACTGTGTATTGGTACCTGGAAATCCCTCTTAAACACCAAACAGATCCCGAGCGAAATAAACATGATAACACCAGTAGTCCAAACGCAGGCTCCCTGGATGCACAAAAGTAAATCGGACGCGTTCGATATCACGAACACCGATGTGAAAACAAAAGTTAGAGAACCCAAAAAGAAGTTGAATGTCTGGATTATCAGCCATACCCTGGAATTCCAGTTTCGTTTTGAGAAAATAGAAATTCCAGCGAACGAGAGGATCCGGTCGAAGACTCGAAAAGTTTCATCCATGTCGGGAACTGTTAAGAAGTGATTTATTGGAGTAATACGAATTTTTACGTTTGTATCGCGCGGTAGAGTCGTGTGGAAAAGCTGTTGAATGTAATAATGCATTTAAAAGTGTTTTGTTTCGATTGTTCATTGTTACGATTACAAGAAAAACTTTAAAATGCAATTATAACATACACTTTTATCACATTAAATTGCTTTTTGTAAAGCATAGGAAATATTATACAAATAGCAATTTAATGATTGGTAAAATTTCAGAGTTCGTCAATAATTATAAACAAATAAGAATAAATCGTTATTTAAACAAAGGTTTGCAACACATAATAATATGCTAGTTGCCAATGTGTTCAATATATCATAGGCAAAGTGTTATTTCAATTATATAAATCTAAAACACTTTTAACCGTTTAAAACGCGAAATATATTTTTTTAAACTGCAATGCGACGTTTTACGCAAAATTACATTTAAAATATTGCTGCTTAAAATAAACTAAAACTAAGTTAACTAATAAATTTCGCATTTTAAGCCGTTAAAATAAATTTTTGAAGTTAGTTCCATTTGTCTAACTTACAGACAATGCTTAAGTATAAGAACATTAATTCACAAAAAATACTAGGTTGGATTATCAGCTCGATTTCCAGCTCGGAAGTAAGAACTTATACAACAAATTAAATAGTCAGTCCTCGGTATCAAACTACTAAATTTATATACTCCTCAAGTACCGGTGGATGAAAACAGCTCGCGTCTAAAACTTCTCTCCTACGACACATAGTTTCTATTCTACGAATGTTAAATATTTGTTTCCACTTTTCACGCTGACTGTACTCGTCACTGTAATCATCTTCAATGGTAGTATTTGGAAAAAAAAATGATAAGTATGTTCCGACTCACATATTCCTTTGTATCATAATTGCGATAATAGTTTTTGATTGACACGTCTTTGATATTTTTGTATATTTTAACTACCCTGTTATTTACTGAAGGGTATTTTCTACTTTAAGGTTTGTTTTTGAAATTGAGGCTTTATGGTAAGTACTTTGTGGATATTTGTCATATATTTTTTAATGACGTTCATTTATTTCATGTAAAAAATATTAATGTTTTCAAACGATATATTAGTTAAACTTATTTTTAACTTCGGCCCGACGTTTTGGGTGCTTTGCAGCAGCCATAGTCAGTCAGAATGATTTTTAAGTTAAAACCATTTTCTCATCTGTGGATGGTAGTTTCTGGGCGGAAGTAAAATTATAAATTTAAAAATTAGAAACATGTTAGATTTGGTGGGGATCGAACTTGTTGATTATTATTAACCATACATTGCTTATCTGTGACGTCATTACTATGGTTGAATTGCAGCCATTAAACTGATATTATCTTTTCCACAATCTACAATTATCTATCATTACTGAAGCAGACAGACATACAATCTATCTGTTTTACTGATCTATTTTTTTCAGGTAAGTAGTCGATCTTACTTGTGCCCTCATCGACCGAAAATATGAACTCCGCGTGATTTAAACGCGGGACTAGTTATGCTTTATTAAGCATGACTATGCATGGTATTCCATGACAGGCAAATATTTAATTATAGAACTGCGCAGGTGGTAAACCTAATAACGAGATTAGCTCAAAAAGTTTGAGATCGTTTTCGTATGAGTTACACTAATATTTGTAGGAATTAATTATTAAAGTAAACAGTTTAAATTCAAAAGCTATGAAATTCATGTTGGATTTCGTTTCAGCGGAGGCGTGCTTGCGGGTAATGTGTTCCGAGTTTAGGATTTTGAAGGAATTATTAATTTTCAGCTATATATATCTGGCACTAGCTTCGTCCGCATAGAATAGTAAATTTGGGCAACAAAATTTGTTTTTGCAAACCTCCTCTTGACCGCAAAAAAACGCGAAATACCTATTATTGCAAAATTCATATGATTGGGACGATTTATAATTAATTTATTACATACAGTTAAAATACTTACTTAAATAGAAATAAAATGCGTATTTAACATTCATATTAATTTGTTACTCTATGAGAATTTTGTCTTATTTGACTGGATTATTATAATTTATCTGTAATCTAAGGTCACTTGACTAACCCTGGACTGTTCGTTCGTGTAGGTTCGAGTAACTGATAGTAACTAATGCACTTTCGTGAGGGTACTTACAGACATACTATGTAGATAAGTAAAATTCTGTACCCAAATGGGTACAGAATCCAACAGGTCATTATTTTGTCTGTATCACTGGAAAATATATATAATTCTGTACTCTATCCAGTTAATTTTTTTTTATGTATTTGTAGGAGTCGAACTTAGAACCTCGAGCGCTGAATAGTGTATAATGTAACCCGTCCTTGACTGAACTACGAAGGAAGTCCTCGAACGATGTTCTTGTAAGGTTTAATTAAATAAACATTGTATATAGTGACAAATTCTTTTCGAGACTTCTCTAAGAGAAAAATTGGATGTAGACAATACGGATTTTCTCAATCCATTATGGGAAAACAAAAGAGCGCGTATCGAGAATGCAATAAATCGTTTAAGTCCACACAAGGGAAGCCAAACTGATCGCACATGAGCAAAATAAGTAGATTTGTCTAGCGTCTAGAGTCTAGACTGTAACCGATATCTGTGATACAAAGTGGACGTTATGATATTATTTTTCGTCACGGTTGAGTGACCATTCTATGAACAAAGCTCGTTGGTGTAAAGCATTGTATGGCTCAATTATCGGCTCGTGAGTTCGATTTCCACCGGTTTTATTTTTGTATTTGTATATTTTCGTTGGACTTATGGAATCTGGGTGTTAATTGGTTGGTAGGAATATCGAATTTCCGTCCGGGTCGTGTACCACAGTCCACATATGAAACAGTTAAGTTAATCGCATTTCAATTTCAGAATGTGGATTTTCGACTATCCAAAGCCAAACTAAATCAACAACGCGTCTTGTTTAGATGTTATACATTCATCCCGTTTCCTAAGGTTGAAGCATGGGCGAACATATTTTTGTGTCCGTTCCTAGATCTATTCTATTTACAGACAAAGTACTCCGAATATGCGCCCTGTCCGACGGAAACAAATTACTGTTTCCACAGGATTCGTACCCAGACACGCTCGCATTGCAACACGTTTGATTGGGCTTCTGAGATGGTACATTTCGTCTAGTTAGATAAAACGAAAAATATGTCAGAAGCACGCTTTGGTTCGAGTATGTTTCTAGGCTTTCTTATTCATATTTTAAAATGCTTCGTGAGTACATTAATAGACGATATTGATTGTAATAAGTGCTTACATTAAGTGTATAGTGGGACATAGGACTCGTAGTAAACTCAAGTAAGACAATTTACTAATAAAGTTTACTGTGTTATGTTTAATTTCTATACGTTATAAATTATTTTGTTTGAAAAGATTGTGCTTATCTCCTTAATTAAAAATTTGCCTATAATTCATTTACTAAATTTTAAAACTGATGTTAGACATGTTGAAAGTACACGAAAAAACATTCAAACATAAATGTTGAACAGGATAAGACGATAGATTTGTTTACCATGCAAAAACCACAATTAAATAAATATTTAAAAAATATGTCTAATGGCAGCTACGTTATCAACTAAAATAAATGATTTTTTTTATTACTTTCTGTTGTAATGCATCTAAAACGTCCGGTAGCAGTATAAAAATAATAGTAATGTTACAAAACCTTCTTTTAATTTATGTACATATCAACGGGACTCACTTTAAGCGAAATATTAGGGCTCAATTACAAGACAATTTAAAAACAGCTTTGTGATTTCAGTGCAGTAAAAAAATATCATTATATTAATAAATAAACTATGTTCATAAAGTACATAACAGTCTTTATATACTTCCTATATAGTAATTATTGATACACTTTGACCTAAGGTTACGCTACAAATCCGCGTTACCAATATGCCATTATTAGTAATCGTTCTTAGATTATTATATCGAGATTATTAGTATATTATAAACTGTAAGATTTAAAACATAGGTTGTCACATACTTTAATGATATTAAAGAAACAATGTGCTAATTATGAAGTTGTATCTAATATTGTTACTAAGTGCAATCATTTTGGGAGATTGTAGAAGATTCACAAGATGTCGGCTAGCATCAGAACTCATGAGAACGCATCTTATCGATAAAACTTTCTTGGGAAATTGTAAGTATTTTTTTTTTCATTCCTTGTAGTCTTCCAAATTGTTACACCTTTGTAGCGTTGTGATTGAATTTTTGGTTTCAGCTCCCTGTAAGCAATTGTTTCGGTACGGTTGATCACAGAATTCTAAGTTATTAGTTTCCTTAATAAATCGATATAACAAAACGCCATAGAAACAGGATTTTCCAACTACAAATATTTATTTTGTACAATTTATAAATTAACTAGCGCACAAATAAGTTCCATTGACGAAATAAAGTTGACTCATTACTATAGTAATTAATTGGACTTTTACAATAAAAATCCGGTTTAAAGTGTATTTAATTAAAATATTTAAATTTCACTAATGGAATTTACAACACACAAGTTAAATTCTATTAAATTTACTTTATAACAATGACCCGACGATTCAATGTGATTTAAAATAAGTTAACTGAGAGATGTCGCATTATAAACTATTACTAATTAATACAGAAAATTTAACCGATTAAATCAATGAAAAAATAGTAAATAGTAAAAGAGCCGAATAGAACACACACAAAGCAATATACAAATATTAAAAAATCACACGACTAACAGTCTAAAATGTTACATAATTCAATTATATGAATATCATTATCTGTCTTCCCCTGACATTGACATTTGCATGCGCGCGCGCAGACTTAATGTCATTGAGTGATTATCCGCCATGAGGTGCGCGTGTTTATTTATGTGTTTGCTTGTGTGCGTTAGCGCGAAACGTTTCGAAACGAGATGCAAACTTGTCCGAGAGTTAATCAAAGTCGGGATGCCCACTGATGTGTTTTTCGGACATTGTAAGTTGAGCAAAACTGATAAAATTTAATTACTGTCTACTTTGACTACGTAGTTTGAGGTTATAAACGTTGTTTTGTCTTTTGACGTAGAACATTAGCAATAAATTCTGTTATTACTTAGACGCTAAAAAATCCCTAGCAATGTCTACTTTTTGTTCAAAATCCAAATTAAAAGAAGTTGATATTACTTATTTTTTTAAGCAAAAAACACAGGTTGACTAATATTTTCATCGTTGTTGTTCTTATATTGAAAATAGTTAATACGTATAAGTAGAAAAAAATCGTCAATGACGTGTAGACACGGTAGCTAGATTGGTTAAAGCAAGCATTGAAAAAATATTAAACATTTAATTTTAAATTAAAACTTAATTATTTTTCACATGTTAATTAGTTATTATACTAATTAAATTATTAAAGAAGTTATAAAAATATGTTATTTTATAAAACAAATTATAACATTAATAATAATCAAATCGAAACTCAATTATTCAATATATTTTATAATGGCCGATAACCAAACAAAAATATACAATGAAAAAAACTAATATCTACACTATTATATAAAGCTAGAGAGTTTATTTGTTTGTTTGAACGCGCTAATCTCAGGAACTACGGGTTCGAATTGAAAAAAAATATTTTTGTGTTGGTTAGAGCATTCATCAAGGAAGGCTATAAAATATCGCTTGTATTAGTCAAAAAAAAATTGGGAAAATTATTCTGGGTTTCCGAGGCGTACGCTGCATAAAAGGTTCAAGATACCCAACAAATATATGTGAAAGAATGATTCCTCTTTAAATGATCTAAAAAAAAGTCCCGGACGCGATATGTCTATCTATTAAAATTAATTTGCAAGAAAGATGGGGAAAGACGCGACCGACCTCGTGGGTAACAGCTTACTGCATAAGTTAATAAAGATGAAGAGGTTCCCAAAAACGAATTTGGATGCCCAAAATAACGATTCTTGCGGATGAAGGCGCTGATACAGCCAGTACAATATAAATTAAGGTTATAGTACCTAATTATATTGTTGAATCAAATTAGTAAATATAGAAAACGGAACGAAAATATTGGATAAATAACTAAGGACAGAAACACACACAAGATTTCTATATTAAATTAAATAAATAACAGACGATACTTAACATTTACTCTATCATCAAGTATACAAACGGTAAATATGTATAGAAAAGACATGAAATAAACATTATTCAAGAGTAAAGTTACGAGGTCAAACCGGGTCCCATTATAATATTATCGTGGACGTATTTAATTATAAAGAGTAGGTTTATTAGTAATCTATACTAATATATAAAGCTGAAGAGTTTGTTTGTTTGTTTGAACGCGCTAATGTCAGCAACTACTGGTTCGAATTGAAAAATTATTTTGTGTTGGTTAGAGCATTTATTGAGGAAGGCCCCCGAGTAAAATTTTCAACGTCTTGTTTCTTCTATAATTGAAGAGGTATACTCCAGCCTAAAGGAGATGCGCCGTCAACCTACCTTGCCTTTGGATATTCGAAAATCCACTGCCTGAAGCGGAGACGTGAATAAACTTTACGACTTTTTCATCTGTGGACGGTAATTTGTGCCCCGGATGGAATTTTAGATATTCCTACCATCCATTAATATCCAGATTTACAGACGAAGTCCAACATGTTTCGGTAATTATAAATCATGTAAAAAATTTGAGATCTAACCCATGAATCGTTGATTATTAGCCGTACATTACTTCCATTACTACAATGAGCTCGCCCGTCAAGAGAAGAACTGGCAAGAACCTCACCGCCACTCCTTTTATCGCCATAATATGTTTTCTTATTAATTATAATTTTACTTCTAGCATAATTACATATAAGATACGTTAAATTTTAATAATAACAGATATAGCGGTTCAGAATCGAAGAAATTATATATAATACTAGCTGTGTCAGCGACTTTGCCCGTCATAATCGTTATTTTGGGCATCCAAATTCGTTTTGCAAACCCCCTTCACCTTTATAAACTTTAGCTTACCCACGACGTCGGTCGCGTTCCTTCTCGTTGTTCTCGCAAGATAATCTTTTAAGATAGGCATATAGCGTCGCGGACTTTTTTTATATCAGTTAAAGAGGAAACATTGTCTCATACAGATTTTTTTGGTTATCTTGAACCGTTTATGCAGCGTACGCCTGGGAAATCCATAATGATGAATAATTTTCCCAATTTTTTACATTTCTCACTATATCTTGGGCGATGTTCTTGATAAATGTTCTTGCCAACAGAAGAAGAATGATTAAATTCGAACCCGTAGTTCCTGAGATTAGCGCGTTCATACAAACGGACAAACAAACTCTTCTCTATAATATATTAGTATAGATTTAAATGTCATATATGCCAGCTATGATACTATTCTACTAAGTAGGTTTTATTGTGGTATTTTTCAAGTGTTATATATAAATTAATTAAGTTTATATATCTCTGCGTAGTTAATAACTATTTTAGTTTTTGTACGAGAGGTTTTTTAAACTATGGGTAAAACCATTTATTCTTCACCTTGATTTAAATAATAAGCAGTTATGGTTAGTAATAATCGAGTTTTGTACAAAATTATACCTTAATACAAATCGTTAAGGTTACAAGTTACTTAAAGCCAAAAAAATTTTTTGTCTCTTTTTATTTATTTTCTCTTTATTATAAGAAGTTAATTTATAATAAATAAGTTTAAATAAAACATTTAATACTGAGTACCTAATAAAGAATTAATTTAATTAACTTCACTTATAATCCTATATTTGTTGTGATATTGTTGTACCTACACTGATTTTGTAGGCATATTACTATAAATAGTTAACAATGGCGTAAATAATTTCTATGTATACACATGTTATTGTGAGATAAATGTTTGACATGAAAACAGTAAAGCAAGGTAGCGCTATAAATTAAAATGATAATAATGTGTACATATGGGTTAAATTTCATCAAAATTTGTGTAGCCTTTTTTCGTAAAATACATCGCATTACGTAAAACGTGGAGTAACAAGATCGGCTTAAATAGATTTGAAAACCATTGTTACAAGTATACTACCTTCAAATAAAACACTTTTAACGGTTTAAAACATGAAATGTAGGATAATTAAAGTACGGCCGATGTTTTGGATGTTTTGCAGCAGCCATGGCCACGGGGAATTTAAAGAAGGTGTCCTTAAAGTCAAAACTGTTACGCTAGCGCCATCTGTTCCGTATTATTTTCTATTAAGCGAAACCGGCTGAGTCATTGTAAAACTGATTACCGACGTCCTCGCGTTTACCGCTATGCTATTTTTTGATAATAAGTTTAACGAATACATTTCGCGTTTTAAACCGTCAAAAGCTTTTTAAAGTGTTTTATTTAAATGTGTACTATTCGCGTAAACTATAGACAGTACTTACGTATTATATAACTTTTAATGTTATTTTCAGGGGTTTGCTTGATAGAGAAAGTAAGCAATCGAGATACAAAGGCCTTCGAAGTTACACCGAGTGGCAAGAAGTTTTACGGGTTATACCAGGTAAGGCCTTTATTTAAATTACATTAAATAAATCTTTGTTATGATTTTTTTTACCAATAACAGCGGGACTCGCATTACCATTTTCCTACAGAGGCCATCTTTTCAAGTATTTTCAATTAACTTGAAAATTTTCCTAAATACATTTTGTAATTTAAATTAAAATTTTCAATTTTTAAATATAGTATAATACATATTTCTTTCTTTACTTTTATATTCAACGTAGGTGAAAATGTTGAAGTGAATATTGTTCACACACTCCAAGTGACGTGCAAAGTCTCCAGCTCTGAAAATAGGCCAGACATTTTATGGGCCTTTAATTTATATCTGAGACAAACCCTGAGCTGACAGTTAGACTTTCTGTTCATTTATTACTTTGGGTAGTTGACTCTATTTTTACAAAAGACTTTGAATATCGCTAACAATGAGAAGCTTATAAAGAACGTATTAATATATATTTTTTAATGTTTTCTAAGATCTTTGAAAATGTTGATATCAAATAGGTTAATTTTTTAATGATATATGCTTGGGTGGTAGGACTAGAGACATTCTGTCTGGGTCACGAACCACCGTGCACAGATAAAAAAAGCTGTTACTTACGCGTATCAGTTTCGGACTGTAGATTTCCGAATATCCAAAGCCAAAATAGGTCACAACGCATCTAGTGTAAATGTTATATAGGTGGCCTCTCATGAAGTAAATCCCATACTTGTCTGTCTTTCTATATCTTAAAAAAATTGACGAATTTACGGTCTATTAAATATAATAACCTAATTTTAACTGTTTTAACTTTTAATCAAATGAACTCCATACTTGTCCAGTCACCTCTGTCTATAAAGTCATTTCTCTGACATCTATATTATTTAAATAAAACACTTTAACGGTTTAAAACGCGATATATTAGTTAAACTTATTTGAAAATTATAACGAATGGCGTTTTAAACCGTTAAAGTGTTTTATTTAAATGTGTACTACTCGCGTAAACTACAGACAGTATTTTTTTCTATATTATAATTGATAGATAAATATACACTGCGTCTACTCCAATGGTGAGAGAGATGAGAGTATCCGATGTAATCACTAACCAACTACCCGACAAAATAATTCATATTAATTAGTTGTTAATTATCATTTCAGATTCCGAGCCGATGGTGTCGGGAAGGAAAGAAAGGGGGAGACTGTAATATTGCCTGTGAATGTAAGTATCCTCTTTTGAAACACATTTAGGTTTAGTTCACACTGAGATGAGACGCGGCTCACATAAACACCACAAAATTTATTGAGTGCACCAAAAGAAACGTTTCATTGCAAGAATTTGATATTGCAGTCCGAAAATAAAGCGGGGCCTCAACAAGTATCAGCGCGTCAGGTGTGAGTTGACCCTTATTTCAAAAACATGTTGGTATTTTTAAATAAAACACTTTAACGATAAAAATAAATATGCGATATATATATATTACTTAAACTTATTTGAATATGATTTTAACTACGGCCCGAGGTTTCGGATGCTTTGCAGCAGCCGTGGTCACGAGACAGAGAATAAGTTTAACTTATATATATCGCGTTTTAAACCGTTAAAGTGTTTTATTTCAAGGTATACTACTCGCGTAAACTATAGACAGTATTTAGTATTTAACATGTTGGTACTTTTATATTTCAATTATTAGTTTGAATATTTCCTTTAATAATTGATCGTTTTGAACAATTATTGCTTTCTCCAATCTACGAGTATAATAAGCTCGTGGTGATATATATTTTGTCGGAGCTTGTTTATTTCATAAGTTTGTTTGTTTTTAGTTTTATCATTATGGCTTTGATAAATGTGATACTAGGTTATACGTTGACCATGTCGATCAATATTCACTTAAGAAATACTTTTATTTTTCTAATAATAATGTATGCACGTTAAGCTCTCTCCGAGTTTAAAATGCAGAAGAATGTGTAAGACTTTTTCCTATATAAATTATGAAACGATAATTTTCCTGATCCGTGAAAACCCATCAAAAGCCAGTGTTAATAAAAATAGCTGTGTTATAAGCAACAAATAAAATATAAACGAAGTATGTCCCGTCAAGCATAAAGGTTCAACAATGGCAAGTGGGCAGTTTTAGGAGAAAACAATCTTAATATTTGGGTCTTACAAGTTAAAATCGCGCGTATAAAATGTCCGTCTTTTCCTAGGTCTATTGTAGAGTTTTATGGAGCGCGTTTTACGTTCGCGGCAATTTTACAGCGGTCAAGTACCACTAGTAAAATACTAAGTGTACAAGTGCTTTTTGGTCGTATTTTATATTTCGAATCAAGGGGTTGCTAGTTTATTGAATTCGAGTTTTAAATCGACTGACAAACGTAAAAATGGGCCGCCGTGACCCAGTGGTGTTGGACAGGGCGCTGAGTTTAGTTCGAATCTAAGCAACACGACAAATTATTATAGTATTGGACAGAGATTAAGGTACAAATTTATTAAATACTGTCTGTAGTTTACGCGAGTAGTGAACATTTAAATAAAGCACTTTAACAGTTTAAAACGCGACATATATTAAACTTATTTAAAAATTATTATAAATAGCGGGGTCTCACCGGGTAGTTAAAATCATTTTCAAATGAGTTTAACTAATATATAACGCGTTTCAAACCGTTAAAGTGTTTTATTTAAATCCTCTAACACTACATCAAATTCTGACTTTAAAGATTTGCTATGGCTTACGGTTAGAACTACGGCCCGACGCTTCAGGTGCTTTGCAGCTAACAAACTAATTAATATATGTCGATTTATAAACCGTGTAATTGTTTTATATAAATGTGTACTACTCGCGTGGACTACGGACGGTGTTAAAACACTGCAAAATGAATCTGCTGAACACAGCACGAGGGCATAATGCCTCTAAGTTACTTAGCTGAAAAAAAAAATATGGTAAAATCAATTCGGCCATTATTTTTTCCTAAAAACGAACTACGGTGAATGGACTTCATTTTAATTCCTACCAATGAACTTAGCCCCCGTACTTCGAAACCATAATATCGCATGAATAACGACTCCTCGTTATGCATAATATAATACAGTTAGAATAACTGTCGCCTAACTATTGCAGCCAAGCTAACTATATTACGGGGGAAGTGGTTTCCACAATGTAGTTCAAATACAATTTCTAGACTGTGATGATAAACTAATTTCCTTAAAGCTGCACTAGATATGGTATTCATATTTATTCGATGAGTAAAACATTTTTTTTAACAGCCGTAGTTTTAAAAGTATAAGACATCAATGTTAGTTTGATGGTTTGAGAGAGCGTATACATAAAAATTAATATTTTTTATTAATTTAATAATAATTATTAATTTAATTGCGCGAAGGGTGACGCGTTTATTGTTTCCCTGGGATTCAAACCCAAAACCGAGAGAAGCTTAACGCAATGCTAGGTAACACGTTTAACCATTTAGCCACAGAGGTATATTGAGATAGGTAAATTGAAATTCTTTACATTTTTACCTTTTTTCTATATAATATTTGTTTTATAGACTATAGTCTCTGTGACTCAGCAGCAGAGGTCCTTGGTTTGACTCCCAAGGGAAAAATTGAAACACTACTTGTTACTAAGATCAACTACTTGTTTGTTAATCATCTCCAGCCCTCCTTTTGAGAAACTGGGTTACTATATTTATTTATTTTTCAGCTTTGCTAGATGATGATATCCGAGATGACACGGCGTGCGCGGTAAAGATCTTTCATCGCGAAGGCTTTAAATACTGGACGCAGTGGTCTGCCCGTTGTAAGAACGACAATTTCATCACAAAAGAGATTTATAAGTAAGTAATCTGTACTAATATTATAAAGCTTGTTTGTTAGCTAGCAAGAATGACTAGACGCGATCTTTTCTATATATTTCTAAATAAATAAATAAAATAAATAGACCTATTTTGAGATTCCTATATAGGATTAATATTCATACACAATCCTATTTGGAAATTTACAGGCTCAAACCGAATCGCGATTAAACATAAACTTAATAACAGATTTCCAGGCGAAGTTCAACATGTTTCGCATAAGTTTTTAAAAAAAATAGACCAACGAGCCAGTGATAAAAAAATATATTTGTGTCGCTATTATCGAACTCTCTCAAAAGTTTGGGCCGATATAACTTGTTTAAAACCATACAAAGAAGTCTGTATTACTTCAACTAGTAAACTAAAATGTTTAATAAATGGTTTAAAATGCGATACTTTATGATATATGATTTATGATTTACTTAAACATATTTGAACTACGGCCCAACTAGTATATTTTACTACTCTCGTAATCTATAGAGTGTATTTTAATAAATGGTTAAGAGAAGATAATAAAATTATTTATTTGTATAAATTATTATAATTCCTTCGACGCAACGATCCTTATGTCGGTCGTTACTTAAATCTTCAATTTGCATAATCAGTCCCCAGGCCACATTGAATCAGCTTGATGGGTTGCATTTTAGCTCTCATTAGAAGAAAGCGCCTTTGTCTCAAGGGATAAAGGCGTGTGCCCATTTTGTGTCCGCCATTTTCTTATTTATTATTTTTTGTATGGTGGTAGAAGACAGACAAATGTGAGGTTAACTTAATGGTAGGTGTAATACCCCAGCCATAATATATGCGCTGTCGGCCTATTTTAGCTTTGGATATTCGGAAATCAACAGACTGAAACCGATTTTCACGGCTGTTTTTATATGTGGACGGTGGTTCCTGACTCGTATGAAACTTCGATATTTCTACTACCCATTTAATATTTCCGGACGAAGTCCAACATGTTTTAGACAATATTAAAAACATGATGGATATAATATTTAGGCTTAATTTGCTACCAAAGAGCCTGTCAAATTTAGTATTAGATTGTAAGTGGTTGTTACGATATATTTGATCTATAGATCTATAAGATTCTTAATTCAAAACCAACACTGTCTTACTCCATTTTGAAATACGAACGAATTATTAAATATTGGATTAAAACGATGAATAGCTAAAAATTATTAAAAAAAATATCGAGCAGGTGTCGAACCTGTGATTGTCAGCATGTGACGTAAATATGTATTATTACTATTAAATACCTTTTTATGACCCGTAGTTTTTATTTTTATATAATAACAAATTTTCCTTACTTAGTGAAAACGCACCCTAATTTTGAAGTAAGTTTTGTTTTCGACTTTTTAACTTCTGGATAAATACAATTAAAAATTCGAACGCTTCTTTGAGTTCTTTGTTATTTTAATGAATAAAAACTACAGTTAAAACAGAGTAGTTAATCAGAACAATTTCCCCCCACTTCCGACCCTATTCCACACGGAAACATTAAAAAAATATATATATATAAGATATGATAATCTAGGGGGGCAATTCTCGACTGGTTGGCATAAGAAATAAATATATATATATATTATAAATATTTTTTAAACATAGAAGAGAACGGACAAGCTTGGAGTTCACTTGATGTTAGGTGAAATACGCCAGCCTATAGCATCCAAGCAATGCGCTGAACTATTTTGGCTTTGGATATTCGGTAACCCACAGCTTTTTTATCTATGGATGGTGGTTCGTGACCCGGATAAAATTTTCGTACCACCCAATAATATCCAGATTTCCAGACGAAATCCAACATGGTTCAGAAAATTTATAGATTGTCAATTCTGTAAGGACCCGGCCAGTTTCGCCAAATACCAACTTCGACGGAACAGATGGCGCTAGCGTAGCAATTTTTTACTTTGACGTCAGAGACATCCTTCATCTTTAGTCTCCCCGTGACCACGGCTGCTGCAAAGCATCCGAAACGTCGGGCCAAAGTTAAAAATCATTTTTAAAATTAGTTTAACTAATATATCGCGTTTAAACCGTTAAAGTGTTTTATTTAAATGTGTACTACTCGCGTAAACTATAGACAGTATTTAATTTATAGATTGATTAGAAAAATGTTGGATGGGAATTGAACAACGAGCCGTTGATTTAAATAAAACACTTTATCGGTTTAAAACGCGGTAAGTTAGTTAAGCTTATTTGAAAATGTTTTTTAACTTCGGCTCGACGTTTTACTGATATATCGCGTTTTAAACCGTTAAAGTGTTTTATTTAAATGTGTACTACTCGCGTAAGCTAAAGAAAGTATTTGACGACCCGTTGTTTATTAGCTGTACATAGCTACCGATACACCAACGGGCCCCGTCGAAATAAGTCAAATAATATGACATTTTTGTATAAAATTAATTATAGAAAATGATATCGATCTTAATATAATAACATTTTTATTATTCCAGATGTCCAGACCTCCTATCGCCCAGAACAAGTCCAGAACGAATAATGCACAGTGACACGCTGAGAGCGAGAAGACGGTTTGCAAGAAGCACTTTGCAGTCGCGATATAGTTTCTTCGGATTACAATGGTTGGAATAAAAGTTTTTTTTATTTCTATAGAAAATCCAATATATAAATAAAGAACCACTGAGAGTCATCAGTTTCAGTCCACTGTTGTGTGTGGGGACAGGACTTCTTCATTGTATACCATCATAATTAATAGCTGTACAGCATCATACATTTTCTACATATTATACAGTTACTAGCTGTGCCAGCGACTTTGTCCGCGTAGAATAGTTATTTTGGGCATGAAAAACTTGTTTTTGCAAATCTCCTCATCTTTATGAATTAAAACTGTTACCCACGACGTCGATCGTGACCCGTCATTTTTGCAAGTTAATCTTAAAATCTCAGAAAAGTTTTTGGATACTATAAAGAAAAAAAATTGTTATAAACGTATTTTTTTTAAAGATCGAAAATAAATTGAAAAAAAATTTCGACTCGGGCAGGACTTGAACGTCGTCAGCTTTCCGTGCTGTTCCTCTACCAATTGAGCTGCCGAGTCCTATTGGTAGAGGAATTATCTTTAAGTTTTATAGTGCCTTCATATGCAATAACATGTGAAAAATAGTTATGTTTTCAAACGTATTTTTTGGTTATTAACTGTTTTTACACGCAACGGAGGATCTCAAAAATGAATAACTTCCCTTCCCTCTCCCCGTTATTTCCCTCTGTTTCATCGTTACGATTTGTCGCAGTACATTAGTTAAAGAATACAGATTACTTACACCATTCCCTATAGATTAAAACTTAGTTTTAACCTCCCTATAGTGGTATAAAAACACGATACCTCTTATTAAAGTGGTAAAGCACATTTGCCATCGCCGATTCTCCAATGCCAGTAACCGCAACAGGAAATAATAAACAAACTTTCGGTGTCTGCTTGATTTCCTTTGAGCATCCGAATATCTCGGGCCTTCGCTTCCTGCAATAGAATGCTTCAAATCGTAATAATATTTTGGCTCCCGATTTGAGGTTGGACAAATAGTCGCAAAAGTTAGAGAAACGGTCTTACTCTGGAGTCTGGCGAAAAAGAGGTAAATAAGATTTACTGTTTAACATAGAAAACAATAGGTTTAAATAAAACACTTTAACGGTGTATAATGTAATAAGTTGATAATAACTAATATTTATCACGTTTTAAAACATTAAAGTGCTTTAATTAAATGTGTACTACTCGAGTAAACTACAGACAGTGTTTGGATTAGGTTTATTCTGAATAAACCTAATATATAATTTATAAATAAAACTTAACCAAACAAATATCAAGAATTAAATAAAATGTTATTAAAAAATTAAGAACTCAGCTACGTTGGGACTCATGGCCCAACACTGATATTTCGTGGCCTTAGAGGCTGAGCTATCGCAAGACAGCTTGTTTGAGAATTTAATTATAATAGCGCTACTACAATAGATAATTTAAAATGTAGCTTGTTTTAAAATTGAGAACGTGTAAATTAATTTATATAGAAAAGCATTATTAATGTATGGGAACTAGAAAAATTCGACACAGTGAAATAATACGCAGGTTAACTATAGATGTGGTAAAAAATGTAATACGGCGAAGAAAACAATTATTAATATAAAATAACTTAAGTATAAGCCTAAACCCTCCTCCGATAACTTCTCGATCCAACACAACGAACCAGTCGTTCGCGCCCAGTGAGATTAGCGCGTATAAACAAACAAATTCTTCAGCTTTATAATATTAATGCACATTTTGTATTTATATAAAGCACCTACTTATAACTATTTATTGACAAAAGAAAATCGTTTTTTGTCTTGACTTTTGTTTGTTTCTCTTTGGTAAGTTTTATTTAGTTTTAAACATGTGATATTATAGGGTCAAGAGATTTTTTTTTTGTTCATAAATAGAAGCGACACGAAGCCTTAGCTCACAGCAAACAGCGAAGTCTTAGCATATCATTTTTTTTCGGGCTGTTCAGCCAACGTGAGCGATAAGAGTTCACAACATATCCTTATGATGCTGTTCGCTCGCGATGGCGACACGTCGAGAACCTCTTCTCCCTCACGTCGGCCGAACAGCCCGAAAAGAATGATATACTGAGCGATGGCCGCGATAGCCCTAAACAATTTTTTTGCGAAGTCTTATTTTTAAGGTTCCGCTACCGTCTGGGTACGGAACCCTAAAAACAAGTCAACAGCAGTCGCGACTTAAGCGCACATCTGTGCAAGGAATTGTGCAGCGTTCTCGCGCCACTATTTCTTCAGAACTGAGGGGATTATTTTAAAGCTTATTTTAATGGTGGCAATTGCTGGAAGTACGCAGCGGATTGTTACAATGTGTGCGGCGGTTTTCATAACTCATTTCATTATTTTCGTTGCGGTGAACGAGATAATTGGCTTACGCTGCTGTGTAATGAGAGTTCTTGGTTTTGTATGGAGCTTATTATCTTGATCAAATGAATATGAAACGAAAATATACATATCGAAATCCAGAACTTTCGATATAAATTGTGCAAGGCTTTCACGGCCATTGCTCAGCATATAATTGCTTTTCGGGCTGTTTGGCCGACGTGGGCGAGAAGAATTATTCTTCGAGCAATCGAGGAGCTAACATCTCCTGATGATGCCGTCCGCTCGTCGGCCGAACAGCCCGAAAAACAATGATATGCTGAACGATGGCCGTGAAAGACTTACATAATTTATATCGAAAATTCCTTGTTTTTACACCAAGTTTTTAGTTTTCTTTATCGTAGAAGATTATTTGATTGTCTTTCAGTAGTGTTTAAGTTTAGTCGATGTTACGGCTTAGTATATTTATTAATTGTGATTTCTAAATTATTAAACAGCTAAAGAGTTTGTTGTGAACTAATTTTCAAAAATGCCATAACTGATTTGAAAAATTAATTGACTATTTCCTTTGGCACTATGAATAATATTGTTTTATTTATCGAAGTAGTATTTTTATATCTAATTTGGATATGCCTACTGTATAAAACATATTTTTATTAACATAGCAATTTCATAATTAAAACTACATTAAGAAAAATTTTTACCTCATTTTATTTTTTCTCATGAAATGGCGTATTAAAAAGAATTGAAAGCGGTCGCAGGCCACAATAAATATTGTTTAGAGAAAATGGCCGTCCCCTGTCAATTGGCCTCTCTCAAGCAAATAACGCAAGCCCTTAGAAGCTGGAGTAAAATCTCATTGCAATTTGACGCAGGTGTCCCAACACAGTCGGCGGAAGCATCTGCAACATCCTTTATGCCGAGTAATTCGTTTCACTTGAGACCTGCCTTTTGAATTTCGCACTACTGTTTGTTTCTACATTTTGTCTCAACACGAGATCTTTTATCTCGAGGATTTAAATACAGCAGTTAAAATAACACATACTTTTTGGAATGGGTAAAGTTTTATAAATAACAATTCAGTACTGTTTTGATTGTGTGGTGGTTGAGCGCTGGTTCTCTGAGCGCTGCAGAACAACAACGTGGAAAGCTGTGAATGCCGGTTTAAGTCCTGCCCGAGTCAATCAAAGTAATTTTTTTCACTCTATTATCCATCATGTCGTCCTATGTAATAAATATGAAAAATATTAAAGTTTTCAATCCACATTTTAATACAACTCTTTAAAGTATAGCGGTTTTTACTTTGACATTAGAGACACCCTCCATCTTTAGTCTCCCCGTGACCACGGCTGCTGCAAAGCATCCAAATGTCGAACCGTAGTTAAAATATAATTTTGTAAATTAGTTTAACTAATATTTCTCGCGTTTTAAACCGTTAAAGTGTTTTATTTAAATTGAATATTTTTTCTAATAACTCGTTGGTCGGTTGGGTAGGGCACAGAGATTTGATTAGCCACTTGCCAGTCAATAAAATCAGTGTTTACCTCATTACTTAGTGAGGGTATAATATAGTATAATATTCTTAATAACCAGGAGAGGAATTTAATAAAAAAATAATTATTATTATAAACGATTTTATATTAAATATGTCCGGGTCACGAACCACCAACCTCACATGAAAAAGCCGCCAAGATTAATGGCATTTTGGTTTCAACTCAACAAAATACGTCGACGACATGTTAAGATGTTATATGGCTGGATTGATTTTACCATCAAGTAAACCCCAAGTTTGTCTGTAGTCCTCTAGCATAAAAAAAAACAAAATCAAATCACAAAAAACTGGCAGCTTAACTTTCCAATCGGGTAGACTCTCTCGTTAGGCAATATTATATTATTCATAGAATTAAATGAAATAGTCTATTAATTTTTCAAATCGGTTAATTCTTAAAAATTAGTCCCTTTAATAAAACAAGCTGTATATTAATATAGAGGAAAACACTTTATATAAAAACCCGTATCGTCGACTTAACTTAAACACTACCACAAGATAATCAAATAAACGGGTAGACGCTTAACCGCCATCTTTGGAGACGCAATTTCCTTAAATTGGAACTCGCAGCGACCTATCAAAGGAACCTGCTTTCTAACGTACAAAGAATCCAATATAATTAAATTGCTTATATCCTTTGTTCGTAGCTCAGCAAAAACACAGCTTTTGGACTTTGCCTGTATAATAGTGGCGTGTGATATCGTACGGAATGATATTACTTTGGAACGACTAATATGAAGCAGGTAGCGTGTTTGAGTCTTGGGGAATATAGATTGTTGGGAAAACTTTGCTTGCGAATAAGTATGCTCTAGTAAACTTCGTCTTATGAGACACGATACTGATGAAAGATATCTAATCTAGATTCAATCTATTCTATAATGAACACTTCTTTACCTACACGATTTTTCACGTTTTGTAGCCACGAGGTTCGTGTTTTAAACCGTCAAAAGTGTTTGATCTGGAGTACTAGTTGCTATTGTAGGACTTTTAAGGAATTTTTAAAACATGTGCAAGTATTGCACATGTGAAACTGAATTTGAATTGCGTTACAAAAAGCAATGTTTTTTTTAACTATCTTTAAGTGAAAGTAAGTGATTCAATTTTCGTTAACTACATTGGGGAATGGGGTATTACAAAGTTTCACCGATCGCTTTTTTTTAATCTATACCAAAGA